TTCTTCTTCTTCTTCTTCTTCTTCTTCCTCTTCCTCTTCCTCTTCTTCTTCTCTTTCTCCTCCTCCTTCTTCTTTGCCTCCTCCTCCTCCTTCTTCTTGTCCACTCAAGGACTCCTAAGAAATGCTAATGCATCCATAGGGAGGTCTCTTAGCCTGGTGCCTACACTTCAGAATGGATGAAATCTCTGCGTATAACCTAGGGTGGATCTGGAAGACTGTCACTGCATCGGAAAGGTGATGAATCACAGTCTCGCCTAGGTAATGAGGCCATGAAGAGAGGCCGCTAACAAATGGGGCATCAAGAGAAATTGCACCCCCTCTCCCTGGGGATGAGGGACAAAGGCTTGGGGAGAGGGGGGGTGGAGGGGGGTGGCAGGAATATAGGCAGAGGGGCGGTAGCCACTCTGTGAGCACAGGAGTAGCCTGGAGGGATTCATTCAGAAGGCACAACACATCACAGTCTCCGAAAGGTGGCAGCTATTATTTTATTTTCCAGAAATAGCAGGAGTGAAAAACGTGATTTTCTCAGTTTGGATTGAGTTGGGTAAAAAGATTTTTATAAAGAAACCATTTTGCTTTGGGCCTTGGCTGGTTCGCGAACTGCCTCCCCAACCTGCTACTTTTATGGGGATATGGAGGGCTCCTACTAGGGCCTCTTCATTGAACAAGGTGGTTATTTGTCTCACACCTACTTTCTAGTAGAACTTGGGTCAACTGACATTAAAAATTGTCACCACGTCAAAACCACAGCCAGTGGAAAATGAGAACGACAGGAGAAAAGTAACAAACAGATAGGGGTACCTAGGCAGCTGATTCTACCAGGCAAAGGAAACAAAGCTGGGCAGCTAGGAGTATTGTGCTGCTGCTACAATTTCACTCGAGGTCCTTGCAGCCAAGGTAGAGAGGCAACTGATGAGCCTCTGCTTTTTACTGTCCGATGCATTTTGTTCTCCATCCCTGAGCGGAGTCTGCCCAGTATGTTTTCACGTGGTTGGTTCGTGTCTTTGTTAGAGCTGCATATATGCTGCTGCAGGGAAGATCCCCATGTGCATCTCCACAGCCCAGACAGAGAGCAAAGGGGAGAGGGAGCAGGAGGTAAGGGAGAGAGAGGGGAGAAAGGGGGAGTAGAGGACAGAAAGAGGGGAGAGGAGAGAAGGAGGAGAAAGTGGGGGAGAAGGAACGTCTCAATGAGAAAATCAAGCACATGCCATATGCCAGGGTCAAGGTCAGAACCTGTAGCCCGATCCAGAGCATCATCAGAGCGCTGGTTGGAGTCCGGCTCCCCTGTCTGAGGCCACGTCCCTGAGAAACACGCAGTCTCCAGTGTGTCTGTCTGTAGCTGTTGTGATGTAGGCGAGGAGGTGATTGGTGATCCATCAGTACTGGTGACCATAAACCAAAATCACCTGGAGCTTGCACTGCAGACATGGAAGCAGCATGTGCTAAGAACATGGGCCTGGAGCTCAGCTGTCCTCAGCTGCAGTTCAGGCTAGGATTCACACTAACTGGATGACTTTGGGCAGATGACCTACTTATCTGAGCTCACTCCCCCCCAACTGCAAAATGGATAGTATAGGCCCAGTGACATGCACTACAACATTTTGCACACAACTCTGCCTCTAATATAATGTCATGCAAATTGGCACGTGTTGATCAGCCCTAATAGAGTTCCAACTGGGATGCCCATCCCTGGCATCTGTTTTCACCCCTTCTCCCCATCTGCCACCTGAGTGTGTTGAGTTTGGCTAGTCAGAATCACTTTAATCTTGGGCCAAGGACCCCAGGTCCAGGCACAGCTGAGGCGATCGTTTTAACTGGTTCTCTTCTTCCTCCACTCACAGCACTATGGTGAACAGAGGAGACTGCCCCCTAAGTTCTTCTGGAAGAATGTTCCCTTGAGTCGACCAGAGAGATTTCATACTGGGAAAGAAGTGAGCCAAGAGTTGTGGCTGGACCCAGGCACATATCTCATTGTGCCCTGCACATCTGAGGCCAACCAGGAGTTGGAGTTCATCCTTAGAGTCTTCTCCAGGAAGCATATCTTTTAGTAAGACCGCAAGGCCTCCTTGTGAGGTTGGGGCTCACGGGTCCCAGGGAGGCAAAGAGGGCAAGGTTCAAATTGGGGGAGGACAGGGTCTCCCTGAGACCTAGAGAGAGCAGCACACTGATGTGGCTGTCTACAAGAGGAGCATCCCTCTTTTCTGCAAACACATTCTCATGAACAAGGCAAGGGAATCCTGCTGAACATTAGAGATCACGAGATAGAGGGATCGTGGTCCCTGTTCTCTAGAATCTCAAGGTCCGGGGAGAATACAGATGTAGCAGCAGTTAATGACATTCATGTCTGAAAGGCATTGAAAGGTCATCAAGAAGAGCCACCTGAGGCAACCCTCTGTGGTCCTGAGGGGAGCAGAGACAACTGCAGGGAGAGAGTGGTGCTGATGACATGCATGCAGAGAAGTTGTTCAGGTGAGGGGAGGCCATCTTTAACCGACAGGCTCAGATGTACACTTGAATCTACATAAGACATCCCAACCAAAAATATTCTTTGACCTAAGAGAGGTAGCACTTGGATGGTTTTTGTTGGTGTGATTTGTGTTATCTCAGCCACACATAGTTAGACTTGACATCAGTCCTCAGCTGCTATTTTCAGACAGTTGCGTCATTGAATAGGCATAGAGATCGTTGAATGAGGATGTCCGGAGGTAGAGGATTTGAAATAATCAAAGGTACAGAGATAAGAAACAGCAGAGTGGGTGGGGTTGTGGGGGGAGCTATGAGCAGTTTGGTGTGCCCTGTGCCGGGTCTTGCTTCTCCAAGGAGAAGTGATAGGTGAGCTGTCAAAGCTGGGCAGGCCCAACCAAGGAACTGAGAGCTGAGCTCTCATGCGGAGGGAGGGAACTGGTTAAAAGGCTCTCCAAATGATCTCAGAGGGAATCCCTTCTCTTTTTTTCTTCTCTCAGCGAAATTGGCAGTGACCCCCATGTTGTCATGTCTAAGGTGAGCAGGCAAGGAGAATGTCATGTGGGTGGAATGGTTTTCAAAGCCAGGGTGGTGGGTGTCTCCCTTCATATTCTGGGAGGGGTAGTTCTGGGAGGAGGAAGGAGCTGCCAGGACTCTCCCACACCCTGCTGTATGGCAAACAGACCACTACACATCCAGTAAGGACCCAGCCATTCCAAACCCAGAGCCCAAGACCATGCAGTGTGTGTGTGTGTGTGTGTGTGTGTGTGTGTGAATGTAATGGTAGAAAGTATAAGAAGTGGGGAAAATGAGGAGCTGATGCCAGGGGCTTATGTGGAGAGCAAATGTTTTGAGAATGATGAGGGTAACACATGTACAAATGTGCTTTATACATTGATGTATGTATGGATTGTGATAAGAGTTGTATGAGCCCCCAATAAAATGATTTTTTTTAAAAGAATGTAAATAGTAAAATATACCCATTGAAAGAGGGAGGAAAATAGGAATAGAAAAAAAGAAAGAAAGTATAAGATATTATAAGATTAAACCACATGGGTTTTCTGAGATTTGGGTGAGCTCATCACTCTGCTATGTTTAAACTGGTTAGAAGGTGGTCAGGTTGGTCTATTTTTTTTCTGTTTCCCTGAAGTATAATGGGAATTCTCTACACCGAACAGATTTAGTGAACACTGTTTGGTTAATTTTGACATACATGTATGAGGTGTGACCACATTCCAATCAAGATAATGAAAATATCTGTCACTTCCCAAAGTTTCCTGAGGTCCCACCCTGTCATACGTAGCAGTTTCCAGACAACCACGGGGGTGTTCATGGCTATGGGTTACTTTTCTAGAATGGTGCACCCAACGATACCTCAGTTGTCGAACTCCATTTGGTCCCAATTTGGGCTTGACCCCCGAAGAGTTCAAGAACTGAACATATCTTTCTGATAAGAAAAAATGGAAAATCCAATCATTGGTTCTGTGGCCCCAAAATTGCGCTTATAAAGTCCCTCTGGATACTCGGATGCGCTATCACCATCGAGTTGTGTCTGATTTATCCAAATGAGCAGTCACTTTTCAACCTTTTCTGCGGTCTGGGTTCCCTGTTTTAACCATTAACGCTTTCTCCACATTAGCCACTTGAATCACTTTTGTTTCCCCCCAAATGTTGATAATGTCTACTTAGCCATGTTGTATTCAACCGCCAGCTCAGACAGCGATGACCGGATTCAAATTTCTCGGTGATTTCTTTCTTTAATGCCATTGTGGGTCTCACGGCTTCCCTCTTAGCTCGACTGCTGCCGTCACTAACTTTCTTTGCAGCCATGGCCATGACCTTTCACACCAACAAACCACAAAGGCAAATGGTGTAGCCCACTAACAGAAGCACTGTATGGTGTCTGAGAGCAGCCAAGGGTCACCCCTTGGTGTCTGTGGCGAGACTTGCTGTGTGACTCCCTGTCAGCCCATACCGGTCTTTTCAAGGTCAATGTTCACCTCGCCTATTGAAAGAAAAACTACAAACACTGGGCAGATTTTTTTCCCCCAAACCTTGATGCCCAAGTAGCGGAAGGTTCAAGGTTGGAGCTGTTTGATAGACTTGGAGCCATCCTCAATGACATTTTACAGTGCATATTCCTTTTTGTCTAGTTTTCTCTTTAACTCAGAAAACTTATTTTGAGACTCATCCATGTTTTGCATGTAACAATATTTACACTCTTGGTTGGAAAAGATCCCTTGTGGCACAGTGGGCTACCGGTTGAGTTGCTTTCTACAAGGTCAGCAGTTTGAATCCACTACTTGTCCTGCAAGAGAAAGATGAGGTTTTCTATTCCTGTGAAGAGGTACAGTCTCATAGAGATGGTTGTCAGCTTGATGTTGGTGGATAGGACCATGGTCTAATATGATACTTGGTCAGTTGACTTCCTCTTGACTCAACTTGAACTTGCTCCAAGCTCCACTATTTCTTGCTTGTTCCATGGTAGAAATTTCTTCTCCGGCTTTTCAAATATTGGTGGTGGTCTTTTCTTTCTCACTCTTTGTTTTTATCTTTCTATTATTATTATTCTTTTCTTCTTGTTGTTTTGTTTTTGCATTTTATTGGTTCCATTGGGCTGCCAAGTTTGTGAAGGACAGAAGGAGTGGATGCATAGAGACAATCGACCGCAAGTTTTGATCAGGGATGTGGGGGTGGGTCCGGGGGAGCATGAGGGGCTTTGGGGAGCAAACAATGAATGCAGGATGGGGAAGGGCACATTAGAACTGAATGCAATGCTGTATATACAACTCTTTAAAAAGCGGCTTGACTATGGAAGTGTATGATATGTAAATACTATATCAAGAAAACTACTTTAAAAAAAAGAACAGAAAAATTAACCAAACTTGGCCATTGGTTACCATGGTGAAGAAGGAAGAGTTGTTGCTTGGGGGCATTGGGTTTCAGTTAATGTTGGTGGAATACTGTAATTTGGAAAAGGATATCAATCATGGTTGTATAACATGAATATAATCAGTGGCACTGAATTATACATGCAGAAGTTGTTGAATTGGAGAATGCTTTGTTATGGATATTTTTGCCACAATTAAAAAATAATTACATGAATTACAAAACCAATATGAAAGTGACAGTCTCAGAAACCCCCAGGGATAGTTCTACCCTGTCCTACGGGGTTGCTGTGAGTCCGAATTGACTCCGTGACAGTGGGTTTCATTGAAAAGCAGGATTCCGTTGTATGGATATCCACAATTTGTTTGTCTAGTCACCTACTAATGAAGACTCGGGTGGTTTTCCAGTTTGGGGCCATCACCAACAACGCTGCCATGACGACTTGTGTCTAACACTTTGTCGGTTTATAAAAGCTTTTACTTACCTTACACTATACCTGTGAGTCCATGCCTGGGTCTCATGGGGTGTAGAAACTACTGCTCCCACCTCCTCCTTTCCCCCCAATCCTCTCATTGTAGCATTTGCCTCTTTCCATAGTGAACATGCCTCCCCCATGACCCATGTCAAACTACCGACATGATGTCACAGAACAGGAAGTCAAGTTGGAAATAAATATGTACATTCAGCTCTCTTGAGCTGGCATGAGCTGGCATTTATAAATGATGCCAGGGCTAGATTACTCAATAGGCAAGCTCCACACAGTCCACTTTTGTCTTCCCACCAGTCTGCAGTATACAATTTCACCTGACCCCCACATCAAAGATGTGGTGAAACCCATAGAGAATTGCTCACTGTCGATTAGCGTGCAAGCCCATGACTGAACACCTTGCTCAATTTGAGCCTGACACAGTTTATATTGTGCTTACTTGTTAATCCACCATTGAAACTGCCATACTCTGTTACATTCCCATCAGTCAGATGAGAGACCCTTTTGTTCCACGCTCTTGCCAATGCTTGGCACAGTCAGTCTTTGCCATTGTTTGTAAGACCTCTTGGTAGGTTTATCAGACCTCTTGATAGCACCAATGGTTATGTGATCAACTCCTAAAGGCTGGGAGTTTGGACCCACCCAGACACACCTTGGAAGACCAACCTGCCAACGTGCCCAAAGGTTCCACAGCCTGGGAACCCTTCGGACACAGTGCTATTCTTCCTAGCTGGGGCTGATGACAGTCTACAAGGCAGTGAACGTTGGGTTATGGTGGTATTGTGCTGTCTTCTTAATTTGCATTTTACTAATGACTTTCTATGATTATTTTCATCTACATGTCTTCTTTGGTGAAGCGTCTGTTCAAATTTTTGCCCATTTTTAAAATTAGGGGCCTCACCGACCTGTCACTGAGTTGTCAGTGTTCTTTCCATTCTCCGCACGCAAGTCCTTTGGGAGATAGTTTCCAAATCTTTTCTCACAGCTTGTAATTTGCCTTTTAATTTACTTAATGCATCTTCCGAGGAGAAAAAGGTTTAACTTATGATTATTTAAATGTATTAAATATTTCCCTGTATCGTTTTTTTTGATCACATTAAAGACGTTTTTGCCAAACCCAAAGTTAAAATGCTTTTTCTTATGTTTTTTTCTGGAAATTTTATAGTTGTAGCACATACAAGCATCTCTGGTGCATTTAAAGTTTAGTTGTGTATATGGTGTGAGGTGAGGGCATTTTGGTGTTTCTTTCCCACCACCGCTTGTTTTAAAAAGTATCATTTTCTACTGCCTGGACATGGTATTTGACCATATTCAAGGAAAATTCAGAGTTCATGGGAAAATGTCATTGTATCTTTATTCCATTTTCCATGAACTTTTTGAAGCGCTCTTGAATGTATCTCAACTCTAGACTTAATTATGTCCCACGCGTGCCTTTATATATGTTGATGGCTGTCCTGCCTTGATTACTAGAGCTCATGGCATTGAAATCAGATAGTAGAAATCCTCCACCTGCGTTTTCCTTTCAAAACGAGTTTTGAAATGTTGTTTTGTTTTGGCCTCTTCTAGGTCTATCACTGTTCCATTTCCATTTTAGAATCAGCTTATCCATTTCTTCAATAAGGGCAGCTGAGATTTTGATTGCTCTGGCATTGAAGCTATAAATTAATGTGGGAAGAACTGACATCTTAAATTTTTAAGTCTTTTGATTCATACGCATGGTGTATTCCTCATTGATTTAAATATTTAGTTTCTTTCAAAGAGTTTTATCATTTTCAATAATAGGTCTTGCACACCTTTTCTAAAAAACCATCCCTAAACCATTAGACAGTTTTGCAAATACATGCAAGGGTAAGTATATGTACACAAGGGCACATACACACACAGATAAGTTAAAAAGCATTGGTACTATGGTTCCCATTCATATACGTATAGGTTTATTGTAAACAAAATATGTTTATCTTAGACCCATTAGTGTGCCTTCAAAAAAATTCCAATGAAAAGACTAGCTTCAGAAGGTTGTGCTGAGACAGATAGATTTAAGGCAGAGAGGTCGGCTCAGAGGCTATGGTGACTGTGTTTTGGGATTCCAAAATCATCATCTTGATAGGTTTTCTCAAAGGACAGAGTATGATCACAGGGGCTTATTAGGAAGAAAATGTCATAAGGTTGAAAACTGCATTGGAGAGAGCAAGGGTACACAAATTGTGGTAAGAAATCTCCCCCCCATCATTACAATGCACTGCTCATTCTTCAAGTGTAGCAACGTTTGTCCTGCAAGCATTTCACTGGAAAACCTTATCCTATCCACCCTACAACGCTGATCTTGCTCCTTCAGCCTTCATTTTGTTCCCAAACTCAAAGAACATTTAAAAGGAACATGATTCAATTCCCTCAAAGCACCCAAACTGACATTTTGACGTGATGTAAACTGAAGCGTGCATAACTCTTTCAAAAGGGTTAGAGAGAATGAAACACCACTTTCAGAATTGTAGAGACCTAGATGCCCCCTCATCAAACTATGTTGACCTTTGATCTTTTGGTTTAATAAATGTTTATATGATTTTGTAGAATGCTTTTTGACTTACCCTCTGTACATGCTTATGTCTATTTCTATCTATCTACCTATCCCATATCCACCCATTGATGCTTAATCTATTCAACAGAGATGTTTAATCTTTAGCCCACCTATTAGGAATTTGGATGATAGTGAACATTTGAAATATAGTTATAGCTGTCTAAATAGTCATGCACATGGACTCTATCATCTCTGTTATTTCTCAACGTGTTTCTATTGATTAATTTTGTCTTTCTTACATATCAGTTTTTCCTTCTTTTTTTCAATACATCAGGTTTTTCTCTTCTTCCTTTGATTGGGCACAAGGCATTGCCAATTTTAATGTGGTGCTGGTTGCTGCCGTATTCCTACACATATCCTTGAGTTTTAACCTGTCAAATTACTTGGAAACAGTTTAATCTCATACTTTGTTGTCAGAACAAGAGAACTTTTGATCTAGGTTTCCATACTCGGTGAAGACCCTTTATGACATGCTCACAATGCCCTGTGAATGGTAAGGTCTTCCGCTTGTGTTCCACATTAGATTTCCAGAATGCTCTCTAGTTTTGCCTCTTTTTCCTCTCTGACACTCTTCAGCATGAACTCTGGCCACCTTGGCTTTTCCTGACTCTTTGCTCTGTCTCCTCATATCAGAAAGACTCCTGGGTTCTATTTGAACTCCTCCTTTTTGCACCATAACCTGTCTCTGGAATCATTGCACTGTCTGGTGCCTGATGCTGAAAATCTGAAAGCCTTTGCTTCATCAAGTGGTCTACGTGTTGTCATTTCAGGCAGTAACAGATCGAGGAATCCCGATTATTCTATCTTGCTCTGAAAGAGAAGATTCATTAGCCTTTTTATAGTTGAGGCAAAAATCTGCCTTAGCTTTTTCTCTAATGGCTTTTGTTGTCTAAGCGTCTTGTCAGGGAAGATAGCCCACTTCCACTGTGGATGGGGCAGAAGGTGAAAGAGATGGGCTTAATGGAGGCATTAAGAAATCTTGGAGTCTAGAACCCAGAGCCGAAGCCCTGAAGTCATTCAAAGTCTCTGTTTAAAATGTTAACTATGTGCGATTTAGACACCTAGCAAGCTCTAAACAAGAACTAAAGGACAGGGTTGTATATACTTTATGCTAGGGTAGATTCTGAATACTCAGGTGTGCTGTGGGCACATGTTTCTAATTGGAGTCAGTGAGGGTCAACATCAGAGATAGCTGGAGGGCTGTGGATTGGGGTAGATACTGTTTCAGGGGAATGATTAAATAGCACCCTTCTTTAGAAGTCTTCTTTGTGTTCTGTTTGGGGAGTTGAAGCGCTTCAAGTGATGAAATAAGAGAAAAACAGCCTTTGCTTACCCAAGGGCCTGGAAGCCATGAGACATTTGTGGGCATGCGAGCCTATTTGCACAGGTCAATGGCTACGTCTCGCTCTATCTGTTCCTACAGGAAATAGTAGAACAACACGAAGAGCAAGATGAATTCTTCACCAAACTCTTTGCAAAGGTAAACTGACGAGATGAGGATGGGCTTGCACTTGTCTGACCCTGTTTATAAACTGTGATGTGAGGTTACCCAGCCTCAAAACGTCCATGTCCCATGATGTTCTCGAGAGTTTAGGGCCACCACTGGAGTCGTTGTCCCGAGAAGGAACCTGTGAAATGCGAATCTGTTCTTGGAAACGCATTTGGTCTTTGCTGCCTGAGCACATAGCATACGGGAGTCTAGCATCGGAGCTGGGGAATGCGAGGAGATTGGTCATGACAAACCATGGGGCCGTGAAGAGGGAAAACTGAGCAAAGCTCAGAGAGAAGGTCACTTGAATGGTGACCTCAAGAGGGACTAAAACTGAAATGGGTAAGAAGGTAGCTAGAAATAGGAGGATCTGAGGCTAAGCCTCTGCCTCCCTTCCAACCTCGCATTTGATCTTTGGTTGATGTAGATTTGAGCACCAGCAGAAGACGGGTGTGGGCAGCACCTGGCTAGGGAAGCCACCTTTCCCTTTCCTGCTAGTTATTAAATTTATTTAGGAATAGGGCCAGAACAATACTGGGGATCTGGGGTCTGATATTTAAACGATGCCATGAAAGATGGAAAGGAGCACTTGGCGGTGGGCATCGTGGTCACAAATCGAGCTAACTAAAAGGTTAGTGGTTCGAAACCACCAACAGCTCTGAGAGAGAAAGACAGGGCTTTCAAATTCTATAAAGAGTTAGTCTTGGAAACTCACAGGGGCAATTCTAGCCTGCCCTACAGGGTCACGGGAGTCATCTCCACTCAGGAGGGCGCATTATACTGGGGAGGACGTTCCCAGCCACATGGGGCTCCCTCTCTTAGCTTGTGGCCCCTGTCCATCTAATGAACCTTCAGTAATGCGGAGTTTCTTCTCTTGTTCTCTTTTCTTTTTAGTATCCAGAAATAAATGCAGTTCAACTGCAGAAAATCCTGAACAACATGACCTGGTCCAGTAAGTATTTCAGAGCCATTCGGCAGGATCCAGACGGGCCGCAGCTCTTCTGTGTGTGGTTTGCCTCTCACTCCCCTGGCGGAGGAGGCTTTGTACCAAGAGAGGCCGTCTTGTCTGGCAAAGCATTTATGCAGCCCTAAGAATACCCAATTTTTGTTTCATTTGGGTGAGTTGAGAACTATGGTAGCAGGAACGAGGATTTCTGTCATTTTGCTAGACTGAGAGGAATAGCTGAGTGCTTCTTTCTCGACATATACATTTCATGAAGAACAACTACGTCTCCTTCCTTCATCTGGCAAATAAGCTCTTGGATGAGCTTATATTCAAATCGATCTACACACGTTTTTCAAAGCCTGCTGCAAATGGGGGATATCGATGCTTTCACATGAAGCTAAGGATCAGCCAGAAAAAAAGGTTGAAGTCCATAACAATATACCTGTATTTGGAATGAGAAGAATGTGTTAGTAACAGATGGACTTCTCCAGAAAGGAGAGTGAACATGAAGGTGCATTAAAGGGGGTTTTCTACCCAAGAAATGTGATTGCCTTTCCTTTTAATGAAGCCAAGCCTTCAAACCCAAGCAGACTCTAGCCCAGGGAATTATATAATTATGGGACTTGAAATAACTCCTGGGCGATCTCTCCAATTCAAATTCAGTTATTCAGAGAAATAGCAGAGGCCCTAGACATGATAGTCCATAATTACTGACCCTTCCAAGAATATTCTAGATGGGTTCTGTAGAGAATATCCAGTAAATATGGCTTATGCACAGTCCAAAAAACATTAAGTGCCTGGATCACAAGGATGCAAAGTAAATTTTCAAAGAACATATGGGCAGGTTACATTCATTTAATCCTTTGAGAGAGTTCCTGCATGGGCAGATCAGGGGACTCTTGTAGATTTTGGCCACGTGCTTGTAAATGTCTTCATGTAAGTGATGAAATGTGGGTTGGAAAATGATAGTATTCGATTACTTGCTCTAAGTCTTACCAGTTAGATAAGAGTTATAGGCATGTGAAACTAGAGGAGTAATTCTAGGTGAGTGTCCCTAGATGTTGTTCTTAGTCCTGTTCACATACCCCAGTTTGAGCAGCGACTTGGGAAGAAATGGGATGCTGGTTGATCAGACTGGTAGAGGTCACAATACTGGAAGGATCCATTCCTCTCAGAGATGGCAGGACAGAAAGTCAGCATGTTCTTAACCAGTGGTGCCCAAACCAAGCAGACGAAATGTAGTCCAGATGAAAACAAAGCCCCATAATTTGTTTTTTAAAAATTGCTGCGCAAGTTTTACACAGAAGAGACCTCGTTTTTGTGACAGTTTATTGTGAAAAATGCCTGGTTAATTTAATTGACCTCATGCTTAGCAGGAGATAATAGTTTCAAGTTGCTGCCTAATAAGCTAATACAAATGCAGGCTATATTTAATGACAGCATTTAGATTCGTGATTTTGAAATGGTGTGCCAAGAAACAGCAGAAGCCAAGAGGTTATAATAAGTGTTCTATGGAAGGAAGGGGATCGGATTCTGTGGTCCATTACACTCAGGGAATTCTGGGTTTAAACAATGTAATTGTTGGCTCTCTGGTACTTAGGAGATGCGAATGTTGCATGGTGAACAGAGAAAAGGGTCTATAGACACAAAACATCCCAACTTGCCTTGACTGCAAAACCCTTTCTTTGAGAAAACATCTCCTTTCGAACTACACTTGGGAGATGCTGCCTTAAAACTCTAGCTGCTTACTCAAATTGCACCTGAAGGATTATGCTCAAGATGAGGTACCTGGTTTTAGGTAAATCCTGGAAAAATGATAGTGTCTAGAAGAGCAGAATGAGGGTTTGGAAATCGTATCACCTGGGGATCGGTGGAAGAAATCTTTAGGTGTTCCGAATGGAAAGCAGAAGATGAAGAGGGGGCAATGTGTGTCTTGCTTTTCTGGAGGCTGAGCAGGGACCAGAGAGCAACTCTGACGGCAGATTTCATTACAGTTAACATAAGATGCTTTCTCCTCGCCAAACGATCATCTGCTCAGTAATCCGAGGAGCAAACCCATCCGTGGGAATAGGGCCCGGAGCAGGTTGGCCTCCCAGATCTCAAGGACATCCGGGAGCCTGTAGTCCGACGATCCCAGCCTCCCCTAAAGCAGGAGGGTTGTGTCCACTTGACCCATGCATGAAGGAATCGCCACCCAGCTCCACTGGTCCCTCGGCCTCCCTCTCTCCACCCACATAAGTGGCGTTATTGGAACCTACACAAGGTCTGGGTAGCTCTGTCCCCCTTCTTTAGAAAAGGGAATGTCGTGTTGAGCCAGCCCCGGGCCGACGTGTTCTGTTTTTGGTTTTGTTTCAGAATTGGGGCACGCACAACCTGTCTTCAGCCTTGAGGCCTGCCAGGGGATCCTTGCCCTCCTGGACGTATCTTTTCATTCCTGTGGGGAATGCATGCTGCTGGCTGAGCACTTAGCTCTGGGGCCGGATGGCCTGGGTTTGAATGCCAACCCCGACCTAGGTTTCATGACCTTGGGAAAACCACTTAGCTCTTATGGCACCTCGAGGTGCTCATTTGAAGGAGTATTAGGGAGTACTGAGGGAGTATTAAAACCTACCCCTAAGAATTCAAGTAGGATACAGTTGAAGTTAAGCGCTTAGAATAGACCTGCCATATAAGTGACCAATATGAGCTATTAATATCAATAGTCTTATTTCCTGGTAGTGAAGATGAGGCAGCTGCAGGGTGGTGATTATTAACAATTCCCCAGCTTGTCATTTAGTGATAGGGGCAGTGTGCCTCCCCATTTATAGACCAGGCGACTGGGGCTTGGGGAAGTTAAATGACACGCCACAAACTCAGTTCTCTTGGTTTTTACCACTGTAATTTTTCTAGCAAACCCTCTGCTTTTCTAAATAGACAATATAATGAGAATTTGATTATCCATTCTACAGAAAGACACATAGAATTGATAGTCTGGTGTGTGTGTTTGTGTGTGTGTTTCCGGGGTGTGGGGGAAGGTGGGGGTGGCAACAATAAAAACCAAACCAGCAGAGAGAATAAACAGTCTTTGCAGAAACTCGGAGAGGGAAAGCTGTGTCCTTGCGCCATGGCCAGCGCCCAGCCACGGTGATACAATGCACAATGGAATGCACACCGCTGGTCCTGTGTTGTCCCCATCATCAGAGGTAGGCAGCCTATGACGATGGGCAAGGACGTCTTCAGCTGACATTTGGAAGTTCATCGCCCGACCTTTCTTCCTAGTCTTCTTAGTTGGGAAGCTGTGCTGGAACCCGGTCAGCACTGTAGGAGGACACACGCCTCTGCTCGGCGGGGCATGAGCTGGACTGGCTGTGATCCAGCCTCATGTGAAGTGGGAAGTCCACCACTGAGCTAGCAACGTCCTCCCGTAGGTGTGGGGTGTCCTCACATGTCTGTCCATGGAAGCCGGCTCCAGTCTGGTCATTTAGCAAACCCTCTTGGCCTTTAACAAAACCCTTCTGGGCCCATATTTTCCCATCCATATCATGGGGGAGGCAATACCTACCTCACCTCATAGGAGGAAGTAGAGTCGCACAGGTGCGGCGTGTCACTGAGGCTTGACCTCAGGCTCTAGATGGGCTCACCTAGAGGTAGGATGCAGCGGCATTTTGACCCAGCCCCTCTGATGCGGGGTGGAGGATTGGGGTGAGGGTCTTTATAGTCATCCACTCAACTCCCAATTGTTCCCCAAAGGGCTGAATAGGCATCCTTATTCACCTTATGCCTGACTCTTTCCATAAGTTCATTTGAACAGTAATGAAAACAGAGCTTCTATGCTTTGATTAAAGACATCCGATGGGCCATCTCAGAATGTTTTGCTGTTACCCTCATCATCACTACCCCTGTCATGCTTTCTTTGGCTCCTTTGGCCTGTCCTAGCAAGGGTGAGGGAGACTGGGCCAGATGGGCTCCCGAGGGGAGGCGAAGGAGGGGTGTCAGACACTGAATGGGAGCACCCAACAATGCACACAGTTGCGTGGAGGAGCTGCCACTACTCACCGGGTTAATGTTGGAAGGCTCTCCTGGCAGATTTTTACCTTGACTTTGCTAGCTGAACGCCACAGGTACTGTGAGCATCCAGGAATTCAGGGACCTGTGGAAACAGCTGATGCTCTGTCAGGTAAGAACAAGTGCAAATCATACTTTTGGGGGGTGGAGGGAGGGGGAGGGGGAGGAAGAGGAGAAACAGAGATTTCTCTGAGTGTGGGAAAACTACATAAAATGCAAGTTTCTCCTTCGTCCCTTGGTTCTCTCCAATCGAATTTCCCTCCCATGAGCCTCACCTCCTCCTCGCTCTTTCTGCTCCTTAGAGAATCTGTAGCAATGGCCTCCTGCGTTTCTAAAGCACCCATCTGACCATGCTGCTTCCTTACGAAAAGTCTGTCCAGACTCCTCATTGCATATAGAGAAAGGTCAGACTTCTTAGCATGGTGTTCAAAGCCATTCGTGATTCACAACCCTGACCCTTTCTCTCTTGAGTCGTCAATTGGGATGGCCCTAAGCCATTGGATCTTGTGCTCAGATTAATGCCATTTCCCTAACCAGGTGGGTCTATACTTCATGAAGGAAAGCCTGTTTGGTCCCTTTCTCAGAGCCATGCGCCCTAAAGCAATGTGAGAGGCAGTAGGATTCTGGCAGGAGCCCGCTGGCACATTCTTATCCCAGGTGCAGACCCTCCTGGGTTATGGCATCCCCATAATTCTCTGCAGCATCTTCTCTGAGGCCCTTTGGAGCTCTCGGGGTGGGGATGGGGTTGGCTTGGCTTCCATAGCCTTGGGCTGGGTTTCTTTGCAGGATGTTTTCCACAAACAAGACAGTCACCAGTCAGGATACTTGAACTGGGACCAGATGCGGGCTGCTGTGAAGGAGGCAGGTAGGCATGGAAGGATCTGCTGGCACGGCATTGATAAGGGGCATGCTGCTCGCCAGAGCTGGTGCAGAGTGTAAGACTCAGCCACTCATGCTGATGCACTGGAGATTTGGACATAATCCACACCACAAGCCGTCAGCCTTTCCCTGGTGCTGGTGGTGATGACGGTAGCGGTAGCGTTAGCAGTTACCATCTAGGGAACATTTCAACATGGCCATTCTGATGGCCATATGTGCATTAGTTGATTCAAAGAAGTGGATTTGCACATAAGAAAAACAATGCTTGGTATTTCCATTATAATCATAGCTGACATTTATTGGGGCTTGGCATATCAGGCTCTCACTTACTCTTTAACAGCTCCCGGTAATCATCCCATCTTTATTGAGTTAAAACTTGAGTTGTAGGGAAGTCAGGTGACTTGTCCAGAGTTCACACTCGGAAATCAGACTCAGCACTGAGTAGACAGCTTTTTGCCAGGATCTAAACATTCCCAGACTCGTGGCTCATGATCAGCAGGCATGAGGAATGGAGATAAAATAGCATAAGCGAACAATGAAAAGAAGGTGCCCATGCTCCCCTGAAGTGAAGGTACTCCTCAGGGGCCTCATGTGGGAAGGGAGCTGGGGGGCAAGGCTGCCAGCCCCCCTCACAGAAACCTGTGTCCAATGTAGGGCTGGGGCTCACTGACGATGTCTGCAAGCTGATGCTCATCCGCTACGGCGGCCCCAATCTCCAGATTGACTTTGTACAGTTTGTCCACCTGATGCTGCGTGCAGAGAACATGGAGGGTGAGCCAGCTGGAGGGAGGGCTGGGGCTTCCTCCCTCCTCCCTATAGGGTATTCTCCAGACGGCAATTCATGTTGGAGGATAAGAGGCCAGACAAACTGCATGGACCATGAGCTCTGAGGCTGTGAGACACAGCTAAGCCCACCCCAACAATGGCTACACGGCTTCCATGGGGAGAGGCAGCTCATTTAGTGAAAAGGCACAGAGGCCTAAGGGGGGTTCCCTTGGGTTTTCAGTACCGGGATGGTGAAGGGAGCAAGGGGAGGGAGTATGGGGAGAACGAGTTCCTGGTGTTTCCAACATCAAACAATTCATTCTGTGCTATTCTGCTGCTTTTCCCAGAGGCCTTCCAGAACTTAACGCAGGATGGCAAAGGCATATACCTCCAGAAGCCAGAGGTGAGCCTTTTCCGTGGGGTCTGCTGCCCGGGATCTTGGGCTCAGGTCACCATTATAGGTGCAGGCTCTTGGAAGAAGAGCTCTGGGCCCATTCATTCTGCTGAGTTTGGAATGGTGGACTGCATTCCTGTGCCGACTCATGGATCAGACATTTCTTGAGGACTTACTATGTGCTAAACACAAAGGAAAGGAGCCAGAGACTGACCAAGGGCATCTGTGACCAGAATCTTGCCCTGGAGTAAAACCTACAGCACTTCAGCCTCATACAATAAGCGTTCATCTAATTCCAGAGTCTCAAGGCTTTGAGTCAGGAGATCTTGCTGGCTTGTGCATGCATCTGAGGGCTGGTGGGGGCTGCGCTATGGTGCCTTCATTAAGGAGGCTCTGACCACGCTTAGCCTTTGCAGAACAAAGGCAGAAGCTGAAGAAATCGGACGGGAACATGCCAGGTTCTGAAATCTAGCTTCCAGCTGTCACTATCCCTTGGAACTTCTATGGTTCAAAGCCAGTCCCAGGACTACATCTGTTTTCAATGTATGGGGAGGGAACCTCCTCTGTTGGGAGAAGAAGAAGCTCTTGTGGTGCAATGGGTTAAGGGTTGGGCTGCTAACTTAAAGTTCAGTGGTTCAAACTCACCAGTTGCTCACTGGGAGAAGCATGAGCAGTCGAGGTCTGTAAATATTTGTCAGAGTGCAAACCCCATGCAGTAGTTGTGCTCTGTCCCACAGGGTGGCTGCGGGGTGGGATTGACTCAATAGCGTGGGAACTTTGCCCTGTAGCAGAGGACATGGAGACAGAGAAGGGTCACGGGCTGGGTTACCGGAAGTCATGAGCTCAAGCACAGACCGTAATGAGAGCGACGCTCCATGCCGTGTTCTGCCAACGTCTCTCTAAGGGAGGCTGCTTTGAAATTGAAGCCCCAGAGAGGAGCCTAGCCAGCCAGCCTGCGTGGCAAGAAGGAAAGACCCAGGCTAGATGGAATAATGTGTTCAATCCCACCGAGAGCACAGGGTATGCAGGGAAGCTGTCTCATGATGAGCCAGAGGTCAGGGTCGGGGCCGGTAGGATGCACGAGAGAGAGGAAGCCTCCTCTTAGGAGCTGGCTGGTGTAGCCTGTATCACAGGACAGGAAGTGTACTCAGTCTCACCTGTTCTCGAATCTCAGACAGTTCTCTGCATCTAGCAAGTGCTTGACAGATGTTTGCTGAACGAATGACAGGAGGCATTGTGACCTGTAGGTGTGTATGGCACCAGTTGTCTTCCCTGGTCCTTCAGACTGCGCCTACGTCTCAAGTGCCTGCTTTGTGCCCAAGGTGGTGCTACCTCATGCTCACCGCTAGGACGGGGGTCTGGAGTTGAATCACTGCTTTCCTTTGGAAACAGATGCCCTGTTTGGGCTGTTGCGAAAGGCCTCAGTAGAAACTAGGGTTTCTTTCTTGACCTCAAATGTCCATTTTTTTATGCACCCACCTTCCAAGGTATAGGCCCTCCAGCACATAGCTCTATCCATCACTCCGATCTTCAGGTGTGCAGGTAGGGCGCAGCTAGAGGGCAAAGTTTAGAGTCTTCTGAGTTCATCCCTGAGTGTCCTAACCTACACAGAGAACTACTTTGGCATCACCTTCTGACCCCAAGTAGTCCCCACCCCCACCCCCCACCCCCCATAGAGGCAGGCACAGAGCCAGGGAGCAGAAGATGTGGGTGACTCAGGACACAGGGCAGCCCACAGCAGGAGCCCTGCACCTGTGCAGCGACGACGTGTAGAAAGATTACTGGACTCGAGTTAAGTGCTGCTGGGCCTGCGGTCAAGGCACCGCCAGCTCCTCAACTGAGGTCTGTTTTGTCTTGTGTGTCCTGCCTGATCTGACCCTGACCTCCGCCTGCGTCGCGGATGGCTTTTCCTGCCTTCCTTGCGCGCTTGGAGGGATGACACACGTTATTCCATCCGGCCTGGGTCTTCCCTCCTCTGCGCTCCCCTGGCTGGCTGCCTTTTTATGTTTGGGGACAGTCAACTCACCGTGATTACACGGGAAAGAGTAGGGCTGCCCCAGGGCAGCGGTTCTCAACCTGTGGGTTGCAACCCCTTTGCGGGTCGAACGACCCTTTCACAGGGATCACCTCAGACCATCGGAAAACACATATTTCTGATCATCTTAGGAACCAAGACACCGCTCCTCTATCCGTCTCCAAGCGGGTCTGCCCACATGCAGATACGCCCACCTACGAGTAGCTGGCATGAAGACTTACCCATGCTATGCCATGCTTCAAGACAAAATTTCATTAACTTGTCGTTAGAAATAAATATTTCACAATATATAATTACATATTAGTTTTGTGATGAATCACTATGCTTTAATTATGTTCAATTTGTAACAATGCAAATACCTCCTGCATATCAGATATTTACATTATGATTCATAACAGTAGCAAAGTGACAGTGATGAAGTAGCAAGGAAAATAATTTTATGGTTGGGGGTCACCATGAGGACCTGGATGAAAGGGTTTCGGCATGAGGAAGGTGAGAACCACTGCCCTAGGGGTTTCTGAGCTTTGACTTCTATGGTGGGGCTCACCAGGTCTTTGGCGTGTGGAGCAATGGGATGGGTTTGGCTTGGCAACCATTCAGTCAGCAGTCCGATACTTAGCCATGGCTCCAGAACTCCTGGGACCTGGGTCTCAGCCAGGGTTAAGGTCTTACATGTAGCTCGAGGACTGAAGGGTATTTATGTTCAATCTTTGGGCCTCAGTTCCCCCACCTGAAATGAGTGGGCTGGACTAGGTCCCAAGGTCCTCTGCAGCTCTGACCCTCCCTGGTTCCCTGAAGAGGAGGTCATGAGGGCTGCCCAAGAGCTTTAGGAGGTAGCAGCCCCCTCACTGGAGTTTTCCTTTGAGTTTTCTCCGCCATCACCGTCACCTTCATCAAGGCCACCATCACCATTATCATCATTTGCATGTAGTTGGCCTGGGAGCAGTTTCCCAAGAGGTCCCCTCTAAGTGCATGCCAAATTGAATCCGTGGGGGGTGGAGGCGGGGGGGGAGACAGAGAACTGAACGTAGAATCAGCTGGTATATGGGTTGTCAGCATTCACAGGTACTATGAAAAGTCAACGCTGATTTTTACTTATGACCAGGTAGTATGGTCCTCTGGCTAAAATATGTATTAGTGTCCTGTCTCCATGGCTCCCCAAGAGTCAGAAAAGGAAGCCCAAAGTCCTGTGTTGGGCTCTGGTCCTCTGAGTAGCTGGGGACAGACAGACAACTGAAAGCCCCTTTGAGTGTTGTGAGGAGACGGGTCTGAATTGATCAGAACTTGCTTTTCCATCCTGTCTAGTGGCTAATGATGACTCTCTACTCCTGAGAAGACTGGCGCCCAGAAGCTCTCACCGAGGACTTCCTGCATGGCTCCAGGGTACCTCTGGCTCCCCCTCACTCCAGTTCCTTGTCTTCAGGACCACCTCTCCAGCGGTCAAGTTCAGCCAGAAAGATTCTTCTCCTGAAGATCTCTTCTTTGGATGGCCACCATGTGAAAAGAGAAGGGAGATTGTAAATACTGTCTTTGATTTGTAAGGACCAGTTGTCCTTCCCTGCAGCCACAACCTTGTCACAGGCAGAGAGGCTATGCAGCATGGCCTAGCCACTCTGACTCCAGAGCTGGGGTGACTAGCCCCATGGATGTCCAGTCGCAGCGCTGTGAGGCACTCTTTAATCACACTGTACGTACGGTAGGGCCACTGTGAGTCAGAATTGACTTGGGAGCACCTAATAGCAATAGCATGGCATTCTAAGGGCCATCACATTTGGGATCGTAGTCTAAATCTCAAGATCTGAGGAGGGACTAGTGTCTGTACCAGCATCTAGGTTTTTGGTAGCATCATGGCTAAGGCTTAACTGTAGGTGTGACTGGGGTTAGATTGGGCTTTGGAGAAGCCAGCAAATAGACTTGGCAGGGTCCAGGTGGGAGTCAGCCAGCTCTGGCATCTGAAGTCATCTTCTGCTGGCAAGATCCCCAGATGATTAAATGTTGGAGGAACCACCTGAGTTCTCAAAGAGCTCCCTGCTGTGGCAAGTGCCAACCTGTTTATTTGACCTACGAACTCTCAGAACCATACCAAATCAGTCCAGAAACTCTCTACCTGCTCCAAAGAAATAAAAAACAAACCTCAACTATGGGGTTAATCAGGTAGGATATGGGATCTTTTTTAACCACAGAGATACACCCGTGGCCTCCCTCCCGACACAGAGCCCATTTACAGGCCAGAATGAAAGCCGTTCCCCAAAGCCCATGCATCTCGTTGCAGGTTAGCACTTGAAGGACATTCATTTAAGTTTGATTCACAATTAATTAACAAAGGATTCTAACAACCATGGCTATGTGGTTTGCGGACTTTAGCTTGGCAGACTAAAGGGAAGTGAAAGGAAGGCCGAGAGGTTCCCTTGACAGCAGAGACAAAGGCGATGGAGAGCTGGAGTCACCACCAGAGAGGAGCATCTTTGAAGTCTGGTTTAAAGAGATAGGACTGTATTTTCTTTAGAAAGGTGTTCATTGATCCCAAATGATCAAGTATACGATGGTTTTCCCTAAGTGCCAGGCATAAGAGGTGTTGCTGGTTTTATAAACGGTGATCATGTACTTATAGTCTCTTCAAAGTTTTATGTCCATTAATTTATCCGTATCTCTGTCTTTCAGTTCTGCCATTGTAACTATTTGTTTTCATAAAACAGTTATTTCCTCAATGCATGAAGGTCATTTTGGAGATGTCTTGAGTGTGAGAGAGGAAACCATCATCCAATTTCAGATCTCTGGATCCCAGTGGGTTGGGTCTGTTTGCTGGGATGGTGTCTGGTTTTGGCTTAATTAAGTCTGATAGAAACCCTTTGTCTGGCTTCTGAGTGATCCGAATTGTCACTGGTATGTTCCTCTCCAGGCTCCAAGTCTATGTGGCATTGTGGCAACTCAAAGACAAACTGTTCCCAGTTGACCTCCAACGCTTCCTCCCACCTAATGTCCAGTATTAGAAATCGGAGTGCAGAGCCATCTCCCTCACCCCCACTCTCTCTTCATGGTCTGCCGCCCTAGGGCACGGTGGGTCAGGCAGGATACACTAGAAAGGTTCAGGGTCAAGTCTGGGAGGTGGACATCGGCCCCTACGGGAGGAGCAAAGACGTTTACTATCAAAATTCCAAACCAACCTCACCGTCATCGAGCCGATGCTGACTCCTAGCAACCCTGTAGGGAAGGGTAGAACTGCCCCGCTTCTTTCGCCTAGGGAGCAACTGGTGGTTTTGAACTGCTGGCCCTAGTCCAAAGCATAACCACTATGCTATCGGGGCTCATCCATGATCCATAACAAGTAGAAAATGTGTAGGCCAGAAGGCCAGCTTTGGCATCAGGGAAGACACGTGGGTCAAGACCGAAGGGCAGGCTGGCCACCAACCAGCCCCAGCAGGCAGAGCCCACCCAAGGGACCACTCTTCTGTGCTTTGAATGCCTCAGAAAAAGGTCTCCCACGGGGCAGAGAGCAGGTGACAAGAGACTAAAACACCTGCCCCTTTCTAACCATCATTGTCCTTCCTTATTTTTTTCCTCTTTTGTCTTGTGTATAAAAACTCAGGCACCAAAGAGAACCTTCTCGATTCCAGATGGAGCCTGGAGTGGGACAGCCAGCCGCTGGCTGTAAATAGTATTGCTTTCTTGCCGTCTCCACAGTGGGTTATAGAACTGCTTTTCGCTCCCAGGGTTTTCAGCCTGATGTTACCCCAGTGAAACAAATGTATTTATTTTTATAATGAAAAAAGGCGCGGAAATGAGTTTCATGGGACCTGGGCAGGCTCTGCCCGACTTCACAGAGGGAGGGGGTATGTTTCCGGCTCTCAGTGTGATCTGGGGAGACAGCCTGCGAGTGGCTGCCAAGGTCCTGAGTTACATTTGCTTCTCCAGTCACGTCAAGGGACTGGAAAGTCTAATGGAAGTAAAAGCACGCAGAGGTTGGGAAGACACAGTCTAGCTGTTTGACTCTGGGCCTCAGTTGATTAGCTTATAAAATAGAGCCCCCAGGCTGGCATGACGGGTTCCTTCCTGGTGGATGCCATCGCGTCTGCTTCGATGCACAGTGGCCCTCTGCACAGCAGAATGAAACGCTGCCGGTCCTGCGTCATCCTCACAATGGTTGCCATGTTCCAGCCCATTGTTGCAACCACTACGAGGGAGCTGGGAAGGCTGGGACCACGCTGGCGGGGGCCAGACCACTGCGGGCTCTGGCATAGGATCTGGATTTGATCCTGAGCTGCGGAGGCAATGCAGAACTTTAAGCCTGGTCATGAGCAGCACAGACCTTTCCTTTGGAGCAGTGGTTCTCAGCCTTCCTAATGCCGCGACCCTTTCATACAGTTCCTCAGGTTGTGGTGTCCCCTCCAACCATAAAATTATTTTCGTTGCTACGTCATCACGGTTGCTCCTGTTATGAAGTGGGCAACCCTTGGGAAAGGGTCATTGGACCTTCAAAGGGGTCATGACCCACAGGTGGAGAACCGCTGCTCTCGGAAGGCAGTAGCGTGCAGGGGGGAGACAATAACCTCAGGGTCACAAGAATGGAGTTCAAATCTTTGCCATGACCCTCAGTAGAGGGAGCGCTGGTCAAATGACTCAACCCCTCCGAATTCCTACAGCCCCATGAGTAAAATGATAATGATCCCCACCGCACTGAGTTCTTGTGAGTGTTCCTAGGATTTGTCAGGACATTTAAAAAATGGGTGCTCAAC